TTATTAAATTCTTCAAGTGACTATAATACTGCCAGCTGGAGACTTTCCAAGTCCCAGTGTTTAGAAGCCACTGGCATAGAAAACTAACCATTGAGGCCTAATATAAGTTCATTAAAAATAATTTAAATATTTCTTTCTCTGAGAAATCCAGTAGATGACTTAAGCAAGGGAAGGCTGTAAAAATCCTAGATCTGTACTTCAAGAAAATATCTAGTAAGATGGCTCATGTATCTCTGTGAAGAAGGTGGGTAAGTAAAGCTGAGTGCAAAAATCAGTTGGGTGCAGTAGCCAATGGTACAATGTCTATACAAAAAGACTATTCAGTGGAAAAATGCCCTTCAAACCTAGAATTTCCATCTGTGAAACAGTATAGCTTAAATTGCATTACAGTAACCAGAAAAGGTCATTGATTTTTCATGCTACATGTCTATAGTTACTTTGCTAGGGGCTCTGATTCACAATGTTTTCACTAAGGGCCCTAAGCTGAAAGAATGCCCACAACCTGGAAAACCTCTGGCAAGACTGGGTAGACACTAGATTTAGCAAGTTAATATGACCTAAAGGGTAATTTTTTTTTCTAATCTCAACACTTTTGACACCAAATATGTGGAGTTTTATTTTTCCCACACTAACAGTTCTGACCCTAGCTACCTGGAGTTAGCGCAGACCACAGGGTTAAGGGCTCAGCCCCACGAGACTGCCTTCCACTTAGGATGTTGATCTCAAGTACAGGCCATCTGCTCGTCTGATGAACAGGCTATAGATCAGGGATTCCCATGCCCTCCTCTTTGGGTTTGATAATTTGCTATAATGGAACACAGAGTTCAGGGAAAGTTTATTTCCTATCACCAGTTAATTATAAGGAATATTATTTTCTTTGCCTTAAAAAACAAGATCACAAAAATATTTTAGACTTCAACAAAATTAAGACTATAAACACTAAGCTATTGGCTTAAACAGTTCATGCCAGACGTACTAAGTCTCTATAAGTCTACTGCTATATTATCAGATATAGATCTTCAAATACTGAGAACATGTCGCCTAAACATAATTTTATATCATGGACACCACTGATGATTTGCATAATAAAGTTGGATTAACAGGATGAATGAAGAGTAATACTTTATACATAGAATTATTTAATACTTAAAAAGGGAGTAAAATCTTTTATATGGATTAAACTATGATTTTAATTTTCACAGTAATGTTTGTATGGTTATTTTAGAAAGAGGGAGAGGACCAACAAACTCACTCAATTGTGAAGGCAAACTTTATGATGCATTTCTTGTATAGAATATAAATTTTGAATCTTTCCTTATCCATTTTCTATGTGAGGAACTGAGCGTTGGATGTTAAAGCCAGCAAACTTTATACTGTACATAAGTGGTCAGGCTAGTCATTTAATCCAGAACTTTAAGTTTAATATACCCACAAAGATCTTATTTTAAATTATTTTTTGAGGCCACTAGAATATTTTAGAGTAAATTTTGGGAAAAAAAAGTGAATTTATGCTTTACTGTATTGATATAGCTAAGGAACTCACATATTCAGCAAATAATATCTCTGTGATCAGAATACATACATATGGTGTATATCTAGAGTTAAGCAAAGCATCTGCTAAAGTTTCCTATATCAGAAAGAAAATACGGATAAATTGAGTTGAAACATTACAAAATCAGATGCATTTGTCAATGATTGAATTATCAAGAGTTATCAGTAATTGATCATCTACAACATTTTGGAACATTTATAGATACTAAAGAAGGAATCAACCCTTATGCTTCTCTAAATTATTTTTTTCCTTAAAGGTGCACACAAAATGTAAATGACATCTAACTTGTAAATTATATGAAGCAAGTACATCTAATTAATTGTATGCTATATTCTAGATCCAAAAAAGATAATAAAGACTGAAAAAACAGAATGAAATTAGTAAGTTTAAATTAACCAAACACAGAAAGTCCTACAGATGTGTGTAAGAGAACTTTACACAAATACTAATAGAGGCTTAACAGCATCATATGTTTAAAAAAAAAACAACTTACATAATTCTATTTTAACTATAAACACCATATACATCAACCCTAAAGGTACAGCCAAAAAACCAAGATCATCTATAGTACCAGAATTACCACAAACATAACAAGGCAGATCTTTAGGCCAGGAGATCATATGGGCAGCACAGATACTTAAGTCAATTCAATATATCCTCTCTTCAGGAGGGGGCTATCAATAAGCTGAAAACTTACCTGAGGGAGCAGCGCCAGATTCTACGTCCTATGAAAACTGGTTAAAAATCTAGAAGGGCTTCACTGATTATAAATTTAGAAGGACACACAATAACTAGCTATGAAAAGACTCTAATGGCTCACACAAAGATGGACTAGATTTAGGGAACCAGGTCTAACGTATGAACAATACAAGATGTCATATCTCACAGCACCAAGGAAAGCACAAACCAACACTCTCTTCACTCAGTCATGAACAGAAGCTCCACCCCATGTATCTTCATATCCTTAGTGGTTAGAAAATGTCTGTCAAGTAGGCTCTTGATATCAGAAATATTTATTTGACTAAATGGAAAAATTAGTATTGAAGTACAAAAAGACTGTGTCAATAGGTAGTAGTTTCTTTAGGATACATGTGAGTACTTTTCAAATTTTCTTTTACGGAGTCCCATGAATTGTCTGCAGTTAAAGGGTTACAGGAGAAAATAGAAAATGGCATACCCTGTGTACCTAATTTGGAGATATGAGTGCTCATCAGTAAGTTAAAGATTTGTGAGAAGCCCTTCATTAAAGAAGTCTATTTGGCTTCATTTACTGATGTTTCCCAACTGTTTTAACCATAGCCTTTTCTCAGTGGCATATCTGATGAACATCTAAGGGTCCTTTGGTGAACAATTTTAAGGTGGAATTATATATTGGACATCGGGTTGGTCGGTAAAACTGAACTTGCACCTGTGCCTCTGAGGACGAAAGTAAACCCCATATTTTAAACATTCTCACATATTTGAAACATCTTCACTATTTGTATTTTTAAGAAAAGACAAGCAACACCTAAGTAAGCTATGTTTTCTCCCTAAAATGAGGAGAAACATATCTTGAAGGCCTTGCAGAATTATCATCTTCCCACTTTTGGTAGCTGAGTAAAGAGGTAGCTTAGAAGATCTAGGTTTCCTCAAAATAACAACAGTTAGAGACCAAGCAGCAGACTCAGTGTCCTCCTTTCCAACAAAGCCACTTTTCCAATCAGGGACCATCACAGGTACAGAGTCACAAAGATACATACTGTACTCTTACCATAAATGAGTAGAGCATGGGAAAATCAGTATTTTATTATTAATAGGAACTCTACAGGTAGAGCAAATAAAAACACAAGTTGCCAGTTATATTTGAATATCAGAGTAACAAAAAAGAATTTTTAGTATAAGTATGTTCCATGTATGCTATTTGAGACATACTTGTGTTAAAAAATTTTGTTTATTTGGCACCCTACATTTCATCTGACAACCATATTCTCCACTAGAACATCAGCTATATTGCATACAGATCCATTTTCCCTTGTCCTAAATCATAGGATAAAGAGAGTTCCAGGGATTGTGTGTGTGCTAAAGTTTCTCAGCTTTTGAGATTTTCCTCAATGAACTATATATTTGCATAGCATAGTGTCACTGCTATGCATCCATGACTCCTTTGAATGTCACAGTAGAAAGAACTGATTTATTTTTCCTGCCATAATAATCTCCAGTACAACCGAAGACAATCTATTGAAGAGGAAATATTCCTGAAAAAAGATACAGGCCTGACTTCCTATTCTTACTCTGCCAGTTATGTGTCCTTGGGCAGGTATATGTATCTCTTTAGACCTTGGTTGTCCTCAATACAATAACCTTAACATTTTACAGTTCCATGATCCTAAGTAAACTAAACTTTGCCTTGTTCCTAATGACTAACCAGAGGTCATGTGTGCATATTTTGGAAGCAGAGAAAAGAACTTCAAAGTAAAAGAAAAACAAGGGACTGACTAAAAGATGGCTCTTATATTTGATTAAAATCCCCTTTTTTTCCCAAAAGAAATGTTACCCTCAGGCTAAACAGGCACCTTAAATATTTCATAAACAATAGCTGTTATTCAGCAACCATATAACTTTCAATACCTTTCCTGCTCTGGACAGTCAGTACCAAATCACTTTTATTTCAGATCATTAAAAAAAAAAAGCAGTTGACTATTTCATTTCCTTGACTCCTGTGTGGTACCTCTAAGAAATTATAAAGCATTCTGTAAGTTCGATGAAAGATATCTACACACAAAAGGCAAATCCATCTTCCCTAACAAATTCTTCAAATAATTTGATTTAAACAGCATTTCTCTGCACAAAGAATCTATACTAATTCATTTTGCCTTCAGCTTAACTAGCTGCTATTAAAAGACAGTGACAATAAGATTTTTCCAATTAAATACCATGCCCTTCATAATCTGAATGCCAGGCATTGCTTTCAAATGATTAAAAACTTTATCACCAACATTTTTAGCATAACATAAAATAAGTAAGTGATTTCAAATTCTATAAAGATCTAATAGTTGTGAATTTAGGGTTGCCAGTTAAGAACAAAAGTCCAATTAAATTTGAATTGCAAGTTTCAAAATCCAAATTTGGTACATACTTAAGATAAAATCATTTTTTTAACTGAAATTCAAATTTAACTAAGCATTCTGTATTTTTATTTGTTTACATCTGGTCTCCCTATATGGGTTTACCCAGTATGAGATATTTGCCAATTTTCATCTCTCTTTCCCTAATGAAAACACTTGTTTTGATCTTTTATTTGTCCCACAGAGTCAAGAGGTTCTACCTATTACAGAATATGAACAGATGAGTAATTTTACAACCAAAATTGTTCTTATCACTAATATCTCTTAGCTTTTAACAAAATCAGGTTACCACCATGAAAACTGTAGTTCACGGAACATACTAAAAATACCAACATTTTACCTACCTGTGGGTAATATATGAGAAGGCCACATAATAAAATATTTCTTTTTTTCACTTCTTTTGCAAATTCCCTAATCTGCATTAGGTTTTCCATTTTCTGACCAAAAGGTAGTAATTTATAATCAAGAAAATGTACCTGCAAAATAATAAAAAAGGTAACAATTAGCATACCATAAGCTTTACTTTCCTTTGAGAAATATAACATAAAAGCAGCTCAAAGCACAAATATATTATTATAATTATGCAATCAATTTGTGTTAATTAGCAATTCAGCATTTCAAGCCATAAATAAATAGGATAGATGAATTCTTATTTATAAATACAGATGTGGTAAACCCTCATTGAGAATGACATTCTCAACATTTGACAACATTGAAAAATATAAAATTTTAATATTGTTTAATATTGTTTAATATTGAAATTTTATATTTCATCAATTCATTCAACTTAATTCATAATTTGTCATCTGAAACTAGGCTACACAGAAATAAACATATATATATGTTAACAATATCAATATAATTCAAAGGAGTGCTTATCTAAGTTTATAAGGTTTTTTTGAAGAATCCCTTTCAAAGTAATTAATAATACTGAAATTCTAAGAAATAAAGATCTAATTCTTAAATTAAATCCAGAAGAATTTTATACAGAATTATTTTCTTGGCAGTGTTAAACAGTGTTACTCTAAAAATTATTCAAGTGGCTATTTTTTAAATGTTATCTTTCATTTAAATTTTAAGGAATTCAGGTGATCTTTCCTCATTTCTGTTAAGGTTTTACAATACTATTTCTCTTTGATGGAACATAAGATCTTAATCAAAAGGATAGCTTCAAAATAAGCAATTTAAAATGCAAATGGACATATAGAATGAACATATATTGTGTGTTCTTCCATAATACCAAATTTAGTAACTCTCAAGACTTACAATTTGTTTAATTATATCCTTTAACTAGAAGCATTTTAAAATATACTCCATCCTGACACTCTTACACCGATCTCTTCTCTTCGTCTCTGCTCATTCATGTGAAAATACACTCTATAGAAAATATACAACCAAACATCTTACTATGTTTTTCTTTAACATAGCAGAATGAGGTCTTTTTTTTCGCACTATCACATTGCATTTTGCTTTTCCAGGAAACACTGCTTATATAACATCCATTTTTAAAGAGAATTATGTGATGATGTGTAATGTACATTAATTTAGTAGACATTCAATACTTATTTCTTGACTTTTCATTAAATATAGTTAATTGTAGACATATAACTGCTACCTCATAAAAGAAACAAAAGAATAGCGAAGAAGTCAAAAAACTTAAGAAGATGAAAAGCAAAAAGAAAATATTTCAGGTTTTTCTACCTGCTAACTGTCTGAACACAAGATGACGTGTGATACTATAACCTTGGGTTCACTTTCCCCAATTCTGTTTCCCCAAAAACTTATCAAGGTGAAATTCCAACTTTTTTCTTTTCTACCAGGCAGCATTTGCTTATGTAAAAATAACTCCTGCCTAGTGAACCACAGCCAAGCTGGAAGAATTGTGAACGAACTATAAATACTGGACCTCCCCCAGTGTAATTTAACTTGCAACCAGGTGTTCCCTAGCTGGGAGCTGGAAGCTAGTGACTGTCAGCTACTGCAAAAAATATTAGTTCCTGTTCGTGGCTTGAGCATTCTAAAAGGGTGGCTTATGTGCCACCTGTGATCTCGTTCCCTCCCCTTTGAGAAGCCAAAGTAAAGCAAGGAGAAATGGGGGGATGGGAGCAGCCCTTATACTAATGTGAGATGATGAGCTCAAGAGCTAAGGCTGAAGAGGTATGTCCATTTCTGCCCTGCCTCTTTTCCTGCTTGTAGTCTTTTACAATCTTGGGCAAACTAGTACCACAAAGGCTTCTAGCCTTATAAGTCTGAAATATCTAGCCGAAGCTAAAGTTGCTGGTGGTGGGCTTGCCAACAAAAAGCAGGCTAATTCCCCTAAACTGAAGGCAATTTTGGAAACTGCAGTCACGTTACGAAGGCAGGGAACTGGCTGATGGTAAGATTCTCTTCCGAGGCTACACTACCACATCACTAGAGAGCCCCATATCTATCTGGGAGTAACATTTATGGTTAAAGACCTCAGCCGTATTTAACACCTCTTTTAACTGTGTAATTACCTGTACTATTTAGATACCATGAAATGCCAGTGGCCACCATGCCAAACATATTTTATGTAAATGGAATGGTGTGGAGTTTGGCAAAGCACAGCCTGAGCAACCTTAATGCCAGCCTAGACAAATAAAAAGGCAGGCAGACATTTCTTGTTTAATGTAAGTCTTTCTGACAAATTTTGATAAAAATTTCACACTAAAATAAGGGGGATGGATTTGTGGGAAAAAGGTACAAGGAGCAGAAAAGACAAGACCACTCTTATTTGTAATTACTGCCTCCACAAAGATTTAAAATACACAGAAATGACTGCAAATGTTGGCAACCCATTAATTAGAGAAGGAATGACAGATATGATACAGCTGGGAATGGAGCTCTGCACCACGGGGCTGCTGTTAAAGATGGCCTAGGAGGAAGCCCAATGCGGGAGAACCCGCTGGGAAGTCAGAGCTGGGATCTGACTCTCGCTCTCCAAAAGAGAGCCTAAACTTAATTTTTAAAGAGTCATTTAATTATATTACTTATTAATTATAAAAACAAATAACTTTAGGAGCCTAAACATGGTAGAACGAAACTGTAGACAAGAATAAATCATACTAGAAAGTATGTTGAATCTGTATTGTGTTTGGGAGAAGGGCAGAAACTGGAGCTATGATGTACATTTTTAAAATAATGTTCTTTCTAATTAAAGCTATAAAAATTACATTTTATAGTTTCTGAACTGCCAGAGGGAGAAAAGAATTGTATGTATCACTGCAGCAAAGTATAGGAGGAAAGTAAAGCAGCAAACAAAACAATTGGCCAAGAGTAGTAACAAAATAAGCTTGTAAAAAGAATTCCAAATATAAAAGTAATAAAAATAATTGTAACATATTTATGTCTTTCATAAGTAACAGATTTATTACATTGGATTTTTAAGAAAAAATCTAACAATATGCTAGTCATAAAATAGATGTCTAAAGGAAATTTTCCTGAAAAGTACGGAAGGATGAAAAAGACAAACGATGAAAACAGTACTGAAAATGAATGTTGTTGCAATGTAATATGATACAGTAGAGTTAATACAAAAAGCGTCAATACAGACAAAAGGAGCAGTACATAATAAAAAATGAAAATTATAACAATTTATATTATAAAATCATAACCTTATTACTAAGATTTGGACACACAAAGCAAAAAAAAATGAATTATGAGAAAAAAATTAACAAATCCATAAACACAGAAGGATATTTTATTGCATTTCTCTTAGAAACTAATGTATCAATCAAACAAATATCTAAAAAAAAAGAACATAAAGGCTTCTGTTTTCAGTATAGCAGCTGAGCTGAGGGTTTTTCCTTTTTTTTTCAAAGCTGTAATTCTATGTCAGTTTTTCTGGCCTTTCTTATCCGGGAAAAGTTGCATATGAACTGATGCCACTTCTACATTACATGGACCTGACTCCATTATTTACCAATCACATAGAAGCTAATAATGAAAGAAACATATGTTGCAGCAAAAACATGTTGAACTGAAGAACATGGTACAATAGTTTTTCAAAGTTCTCACCAGTCATGAGATATCTAAAAAGGGACTGAAAGACTTTCACTCTGGCTATAGATCCAGAAGATATAACACACCCTAAATCCTTGGAAATAAAAAAAAGTTATTATCGCTTAAAGAAATCAGTAGGCCAATGCTGTTGATCACAGAGTCCACGAATTAAATTAAAGAAATGGTGTACGAGTTCTAGATATACTATGTATACATCTACAAACTGCCTATGCCATCCCACTAAACCAAGTACTTAGATTACAGGCAAACATTAAAACATGTAATAGAACAGAGTAATATAGGTCCTTTTCCTGAATATGCAGTATGTGCTTAACATTATGGCAGTTGACATAACTAACTTTTAAAGAAACAGATATGGATATTGACCTCATGAAATGTATAATCAAAGCTGACAAAATTCAAGCATGAAGAAGTGAGCTACATCTCAAAATTATCTTTCACCAGATGGGAAGGCCTGATGACATCATGAAAAACAGAAGATAATCTCCAGCAGATGTACTTCCTAATACCAATAGCATGAAACTTAAGCATTTAATTTACATTTTGCTATGAATTTTGAACTTCTATAATATATCAACTAAGTACAAGTTCCAGAAAAGTATATAGTAATACAACCAACTTAACTTTAAAAACAAGGCAGGTTTACACAACTGCAGCAGAGAGTTACAAAATGATCATGGTAACTCAAGAAAAATGTAAATATTTTTGCTTCAATAACAAATTTACACCATGGGCAGGTTTACATCCACTGAAATGTAGCAAAACATTTCATCTAGGTTGAGTCCTGTAGATTTGCTTATAACTACATAAGATACTTATTCTTTGATCACTTTCTACACTGTTCACTAATTTGCTATATGTAAGTTACAGAAAAAAACAGTATTTCCCATTTAGAATGCCATTTCTAACAGTTCTTTTTCATGCAGGGTATTTTCCTATCCCCCCAAAAGAGAATGTCTTATTTCATTTTTCTTAAGGTAGTGAATTCATTCCTATAAACTAGTAAACTGCTTAAACGTTTAACATGTGGGTAACTTCATGGGTCTGTGGGTGAGCGAGGCTTCTGGCACTCATACTTTGCAAAAGGCTCCTCCTCTGTGACTCTGCTACACTTAGTTCTACACATGCTTTATGTTTGTCTGGTAACCATTTAATATATTCTTGGTCCCAGATGAATTCCAATTAATTTTTACATTTTAATACTGATTTTTTTCACTTGTCTCTGAGGGCAGGTACATTAATTAAAAGACAATAATTACTATCAATAACATTCTTTAAAGTACAATATTCTTTAAAACACAAGGAATGTTCCATAAGTCCACATTTAACACTTCCATCTCATTCCAGACTCTATGTTCACAGTAGGAGGGGAAATAGACTCTGTTGTTTATTTGACTAAGAAGAAAGTTGATTTGTAAAGCTTAAGTATATA